GTTCGATCCCCGGCCGCGTCATTTCAAAAGACGTTATTGATGGTGCTTGTTGTTACCCTGTCTGGCGTTCGGCATTAAGGGGGAAAAACAGGGACTGGTCGGCTCGGAGTCAGTATAATGTGTCTGAGTGGGTTTTTTCATGTTAAACTGTGGTATGGTATCTCAGTGGGCTAGCACTATAAAGTGCTAGTAGAAGCAGCCACACACACACACAAACACACACACACACACACGCACGCACGCACAGATGCACACACACACACACACACACGTGCATGCATGTCTCAAATATAAGTGCAATAATATTGGACGCGACGTACCTTGCATGCCGCAGTGATGAAGCTGCAGTTTTGCGACCTTGGTACATACAAAACACCTTTCATTCTCTTGCGCAACACTGGTTTGATATCAAGTTATGTGAAATATTTCCATCAAGTTCGCGAGGCCTAAGGCGCCTCAAGTCGCTCTGTACAGTTGTTTTCCTCGGTCTGGCAAAGATCTGTCAGTGATGGTCGGAAGTGACATCATAATCTGCATCACTCCTATCAGCAACTTAGCACAGAATTTCAATCGCATGTGAGAGTTATTTGATTGGACGGTAATCAAATCGGACTCACAACGAAGCTAATCTACCGGGCAAAGGAACGTTGACACTTGAGAATTGGATTTGATCAAATAATTATGTATTTTTACTTTATAAATTTTACAAGGCCGAAAACAGTCATGGCAACACTTCAAACAAAACACAACTATGACACCCCTATCAAATACATCATCATCGAATAACTGTTTTTGTTTGTTTCATTAATAGCCACCACCAAACTTTCTTTTGCTTGACAGTTTATGTCAGTAAATGGGTCAAGAGTATATATCATACCAGATCGTGACGATCCGGGGTAGAATAGGCCTTCAGCAACCCATGCTTGTCGTAACAGGCGACTAACGGGATCGGATGGTCAGGCTCGCTGACTTGGTTGATGCATGTCATCGTATCCCAATGGCGTGGATCGATGCTCATGATGTCAATCATTGCATTGTCTGGTCCAGGCTCGATTATTTACAAACCGTCGTCATATAGCTGGAATATTGCTGAGTGCGGTGTTTAACAACAAACAAACAACACTAACATAACACACACCAACCCAGTTTAAATTATAAATTATCACAATGTATTATACAGTTCTTCAGTTACACATTCGAGCCCTGTTAATCCGGACAGTATCGTCACCGATACACTGGGTAATCGAGGACGAAGACCTGTGTTACAATGGACTTTTCCCTCACATTATCTTTACACCCCGCCACATGAGTGAAATACTGTTCAAAGCAATGTTAAACTGTTAAAGTCAACTCACTTACTCACTCAAAGCAATGTTGGGGGCGCGGGTGTCCCAGTCGTCTAAGGCGATTCGCTGTGCAGAGTTGCGTCCCTTGGGCACGCCAGAAACCTATGATTGTGGGTTCGAATCCCGGTTCGCCCCGATTATGTTTCTAGGTTTGTCCGCACCATACCCGTGCTCGTGGGTTTCACCGAAGCGGTAAACGTCTGAGACCTGCATCACTTCGGGCTTTCCTCCCACATTGAGCTGACACGCCGCGATATAAAGGGAATACTGTTAATAGCGGCGTAAAACCCAACTCACTCACTCACTCAAAGCAATGTTAAACTGTTAAACCCAACTCATCCGCTTGCCCTGTCATAAATAGTAGTGACCAGTACAGAAGAAAGCTGATGAAACATGTACATTTTCTGTGTCTGGAGACTAAATCCCTAGCAACAGTGCTGGAAGACTAACATGTAGTCCTTGAATGAACATATATTTGCAGAAGAAAAAAACAGTTGCTAAATTATGGTTATAAAATATGATAAAAAGGAGCCAAGGGACTTTCTTCATTCTGGTTATGCAGAATCTAGACTTGCCAAATATTATAGGGTCTGTATGACAGACTACCATGCTGGTCCAAAGAAGCGACTAAATGGATCCTGTGGTCAGGCTTGCTGACTTGGGAGTGAGCTAGGGGCGTTATTCATAGCTAGTGTGTCTGATCAATACTCGATTATTTACAGGCCGCCGTCATATAGAGTGCAGGGTTGAATAACAAACAAAACGGGAAAAAGCATTTGTAACCAATTTGACAGAGACGGTGTGCACGGAGATTGGTCTATGGTCGCGAAATTCGCCCGGTGAATGTGGCCCAAATGGGCTTCCATCCAACATTAAACTGACACGCCTGAATTAATGTTCAAAGCAGTGCAAAACCCTACTTACTCACTCACTCATTCAATCAAAACTGGAAGGAAGCCCAAACCCATCCTTGACTATGCAGTGAAGTACTGTAAATCTTGAAATTAACGCGAGCGTGAATTAAATGCGAAAAATGCGAGTGGTCAAAGGCCGACACGTGCCAGCGCGCATGCATTGTTTTAGCGGAAGTACACTACTCAGCGCTAATACGCAGTTCTATTTGGTGTGTGATTGGATTAATGTAAGGTTGGATTAAGGTGAGGATTCTCCTGTAAACCTGACAGAGGATATTTTCTTTAGATAACATATCCACTGATGTTTGAGAAGGAGGGGGTGTCGCATTCATATTGTATTCATCTCCTTTCTGTTACAGGGCGGCGGGGTAGCTTAGAAGTAAAAGCGTTCACTCGTCACTCCAAAGGCCAAGGTTCGTTTCCCCACATGGGTACAATGTATGAAGCCTATATCTGCTGTTCCCAGGGGGGATATTGCTGGAATTTTGCTAAAAGCGACGTAAATACACGTTAACTTCCATTCCATCACTTGATAATTCGGATAAAAAATGCTTATTAATAATTACACATTTTCTTGCCAACAGAAATTACTGACGTACAGTCAAGTCCCGTTAATCCGACACTGTTGGTTGCATATGATTATGTCGGATTAACGAGGATGTCGGAAAAACGAAATTAGGTAGTATCAACGTTCGTGATCGAAAATCGGACAACTACACGATAGATAACGATTCAAACACGTTGTAATAAAAAAAAAGAGAGGAAAAGGGCAATATTCATATTGTTATGTTACATTGTTAGCGGAATATGTTTTCTAATCATGCAACCTCCAAAGTTTAAAACAATGTATGACTGATTCAAAATACTTTTTATAGCATAGTCCGGAATGGGCCCCGATTATGTTTCTAGGTTTGTCAGTACCATACCCGAGCTCGTGGGTTTCACCGAAGTGGTAAACGTCTGAGACCTGCATCACTTCGGGCTTTCCTCCCACATTAAGCTGACACGCCGCGATATAACTGGAATAATGTTAAAAGCGGCGTTAATCCCAACTCACTTACACTAGTCGCCAGTTTGAAACTAGTGCCGCAATGCTTAAGAAAGCTGCTTTCTTAGTGGCTAATGTCGACTTCCTGTTAGTAATTTCATTGGTCGGTCAAAGTTCGCGAAAGGTCGTTCTGACGTGACTGTATTATCCCCTAACATGGTGGTTACGAGCTGACAGGTGACAGGTTATATACCAGAAACAGGTGTTAATAGTTCATTAATAGTTGTGATACATATAACATCACCTTAACTGTTAACCCCTGTTTCCGTTACTATGGTGAATAGTTTATGCTCTCCCTACAATCCCGGAATGTTGTAACACCAACTTTAAAAATACACATCAACTAACGTCACCTGTTCGTCAACATATGTTTCTAATCAAACCTATAAATTGACTGTATGATGAGATACTACACATCGATAGTAAGTTAGTCGAATTGTTATAATATAATTGTTATATAATTGTTATATAATTGTCATATAATTGTTAGGGGCGGTCGGGTAGCCTAGTGGTTAAAGCGTTTGCTCGTCACGCCGAAGACCCGGGTTCGATTCCCGACATGGGTACATTGTGTGAAGCCCATTTCTGGTGTCCCCCGCCGTGATATTGCTGAAATGTTGCTAAAAGCGGCGTAAAACCATACTCACTCACTCACTCATATAATTGTTATATAGCTGGAATATTGTTTAGGACGGCGTAAAACCCTACTCGCTCGACGGATCGACGGAAACCCCATCCTCGATAATCCAGGTTATTATATCCCCATGCTATTACGATAAATATCGGGCGGTGGGGTAGCAAAGTGATTAAAGCGTTCACGTTTGCTCCCTTAACTTCGTTTTGAGTCCTATTCGAAATACACGGCGCTTAAACTAGAGGTTAATCAAATTACGCTCATAAACGAGAGAAATCCTTTGCTAAGTTAGTGACAAGAAAAATTATGCTGGTGATGTCAGTTCCGATACGAGGTTTTTATGGAGAATGGGTCCCGGTATTTATCATAATAGATTGGAGGAATCCTATCTGGATAATCGAGGTTGCCGAATGACAGGTTCGGCTTGGTCCGGGATTGAATCCAAGATTTGCCCTGATTACCAAACTTGTAAACGTCGACGACTTGAGTCACTTTGGTCTATTCACCCACGTCCTAAACTGACACCATATCATGCAACTGAAATACTGTTAAACCTAACTCACTTACTAAGCCCGTGAATATCCGGGTTAAAATAGATCTTCAGCAACCACGCTTGTCTAGACTTACAGTTTGTATCTGAAATCTAATATTACACAATATCCTTCTTGACTCTAAAAATGAAACAAAATCCCTATAGAGTTGCTAGAGCTGGCTAGACTTGCTTTTGTATGTGTTGCTAGATATATTTTTTTCATAAAATAAATATATCCCACAGTCATGGTGCAGGACTAGTGCTTGTCGTTGGATGCGACTAACGGGATCGGGTGGTCAGGCTCGCTGACTAGGTCTATGTATGTCTTCGTATCCCAATTGTGCAGATCGATGCTCATGATCACTGGATTGTCTTGTCAATTTGTCAATTAGTCCGCCGTCATAGATGGAATATTGCTGAGTGCGGCGTTAAACAACAAACAAACAACAAAGACGATGAATGCATGTGTAGTATATACATCATGAAAATAGCTGTTGTTATTTCAACTTAAACTCGACTCATCTTAAGGTTTTGTTTAATATTTATTGCATACATCATCCATCACTACACCACAATGCATAAATCCAGCAAACATTCAAGCAAAGTTTGGACCTTGAAAAGAAATATAATAACTGGGTGTCCTAACCGCATGTGCCATTGTCACGGGAACCTTCCAGAGTATAAAGATAATGTATTTACATAATGAAACAGGCACATCACAAAATAACTTGACACCAGCATACAAGATGAGAGTATGTTCTTACCAGGTCAGTGTTGCACAGTTAGGAAAAACACATTGACAATATATACATAATGTCCATCAGCATGGATATGTTATTTAATGTCCATGAATGGAATATGGTGTATTAAATGTCACGGCTTTCTGTGTTCAATGCCTCGCGTCTTACGTCCATAAACAGGGACGTTGTATGTATAATGTCCATGAATGGTTATGTTTTACGCAATGTCCATGAACAAAGACAGCGTGTGTAATGTCCATGAATGGACTTGGGGTATGTTATGTCCATGAAAAGGGACGTAGTGTGTATTAAGTCCATAAAGAGGCGATGAGTTTACAATGTCCCTGGACACGGACACTGTGTAAAGTGACCATGAACAAGAACATTGTGTAAAGTGACCATGAACAAGAACATTGTGTAAAATGCAGGAACAATGTGTGCACGAAGTCCAAGAAGGGAACGATGTGTGTACAATGTCCTTGAGCACTGTGAGGTGTATATTATGTCCATGATCAGGGACACTGTATCTATAATGTCCATGAATAAGACGATGTGTGATGTCCATAAAAGTCCACCAACAGGGACACGGAGTACATAATGTCCATAGAAAGGGACACGGTGTATAGGGTCCAGAGTTAAAACACGTAAACCAGAATGTGGTGATGGCTTCAGACCATTCCTCCTGTATATTTCTTCTCAATTGTCTCTAGATGCTCCCGTGCCTTCATCCTCAGGGCCACGATGCTGGAATTCCTGGGGTCGGCGTCCCCCAGTTTGGCGGTCAGGGGATTAAACACACCCGAGAATGTATGTAGTTTAGATGTGATGGCGTTGGACTGAAATGCAGGAGAGAAGAAACTCGGGTACGACGTCGGCGTCTGTGAGAACACTGGGCTTAATGACGTCAGACCTTGCGTAGAAGTTGTGATTGGTTGATGGACGCCATTACCGAGAGCGCATGCGCTTGCTATCGGTGGGGTCAACCAGGGGTCAAGTGGCAAGGTGGAGGTCAACATGTTGGTCGTGCGTTTGGTGACTGGTGGCCCAGAATAGCTTTCCGTCAGCTTCCCGCCCTCAAGTTTCTCCTGGCGACGCCATTTTGCTCTCCTGTTTTGAAACCAGACCTGAAAAGCAAACAATATAAGTTCCCTTACTGAAAGGTTCATATTGACCCTACCGATAGACAAACATCTAGTCTCTGAAATGAAAATAGTTTACAGAAAAGACAGTTGTTCTTTCTATTATCTTAACGACAGAAATTAAAAGGGAGCCAAGAGACCCTCTTCTTTCTGAAACCAGAGACCATATAATAGATATTATATGGTCTCTGCTGAAACTGAAGTAATCTAGACTTGCATGGGCTGTATTGGATATATTTGTTTCAAAGATTAGATTACCTTACTGATAGGCTCTGAATATGATCTCCTCCTAACGATAAATCATCTATATGCACATAAAGTGTCCTTGAATGCTTTGGTATTGTAGGGTAGCCTTGGCCCGGGGGGTTAAATACCCTCGTTCGATTCCCCATATGGATACAATGTGTGGAGCTTCTTCTCGGTGTCCATACACGGTATATCAAGTCTCGTTTACAAGTGAGGGGCAGGGATTTGCGGTGAAGAAATAAAATTGACAGCTTCATAGGAATCTATGTCCAAACGCTGACAGACTTTTGTACTCAGGCGAACCGCACATCGTGCCCTGTGCATATTGTTTTAACGTGTCCTCTAAATCCGCTGTGCAGAGTTGCGACCCTTTGATGTGACATGATCCTGTAATCATGGGTTTGAGTCCAAGATTCGGCCTGATTGCAATCTTTGGTTTGTCTACTCCATGCCCGTGCTGCATCACTTTGGACTTTCTTCCAACATTAAACTGGCGTGCCGTGATGTACTGAGATACTGTTTAAAGCGGCGTTAAATCAAATTCATTCTTCAACGTTCAGTGAAAGACGTCGACATGACAACTTGTGCGTGCCTTGTGTCTGCTGACCTTTCGTACAAACTATAACTGATTAGCTCGAGTTTTCATTGGTTAATTCGGCCATTACACACACGTGTAAACTGTGTAATCCGTGTTAAGAAGCAATGTACGACGTTTTCTAAATGGTCCTCCAATCTCTTCAACAGTGTCCAGATTAACATGGCTTTCAAATTGGCTTTAATGTGACATTTAACTTTCGGCCCGAGACGCCATGCCCAGCTAATAACAAAGTCTTAAAGAGCGCTTTAATTAATTCAATAACAGCCCATTCAATTTGGCGCATTAATTTGCTTCAAGACGCATTACTCAGTTGAGTTGTCGCACGACATGAAAGCGCAAGAAGAAAGAATCCCAACTGGCGTTATCCTGAGGGGGCAAATTAAATAGGAGGAAATTTGTAGCCTATCAGTTCCTCGTTAGCGTGCCAAAGGGAGACTAAATTTGATTTCGTAAAGAATGGTAGCACAGAAATCTGTCATAAACCATTTAACTCCATTACGTTTGCTAAACACTAGGGATTTGTTATCGTTGCCCATTCAACATAAATAAATGTTTACATTTACCGTTTCTACACCTTTCATATAAACAGCGGCTGTATTCATACATATGTTACTGTTCCTGTTAAAGGGGGATTATTGTTGCGAAGAACAATAGTATTTCAGTTGGTCTACATATCATCAAGACAACATTGACCTTAATGAAATATGTTTATCGTGGCCTTTTATCATTCCTTGCCATGATCAGTTTGTTTCCACGATGCTTCCCTGACCACCGTATGTTACGTGCTAATACTGGAGCAAATATCAGACACTTTATCTTGATTCCTCAGATCTGGTTATTTCTTCTTTCTTATATCATGTATTTCATTTTCTTCTGATGTTACTGATACTGATATCAAAATTTTGAATCAATTTGGAAAATTTTACATTAGAGAATATCATGTAGATATTTTACAGTATTCAAACTATAGTTGGAAGCAGCAGCAGAGCTATTTTGATGCAATATTAAAGAGCGAGTGATCACAAATACTTTTCATGCCAAATTACTGGCACAACTTCCGCAATCAGCCAAATGCAAGACGAATACGTAAGCCCTATGTTAGTCTGAATTGGTCACGTTTCTTAAAAACGGTAGGGTGCTTCTTCGATGGATGGTTAAATATATACTGAAGGTAACGTTTTAATGCGTATGTGTATTTGTCAGTTAATGGCCGTTAGAAATGGCGAAGACACATTTTGGTTAAGTGATTTTGATTGTATTTTGACTGACCATCTATTTTCAGACTTCGTTTTTGGTGAAATCACGGTTAAGCAATAGTCTTGACAGACAAGGTTGTGAACTTTTCACGAAATGTCTCCCTGTCTCAGTTTTAGTGGTCAGACCACGACAATCTGTCCACTCGGACAATGTCTTCACGTCGGTGACCAGACTACAATAAACGCTCCCTACGGGGACCGGTCATTTCCCTCAACGATCACTTTGATAACGTTCAATTGTGTACGGAGTAAGGGTCGCCCCAGCGAGGGTCGGGTCACTGCTTTGGGGGGATATTAAACTTGCTGCGTTTCCCCAATTACTTTGTTTTCGGCATTGACACACAACAAAAGTGATGGAGATGAGGTTTTAGCTCGCTTCACTTCCTCATTAAAGATGTCGTTGACAGTTGGCTTCTTAGCGCGAGAGGGTGCTAATTTGATTGTGAGATGTGCTTATTAGCCAATCAGATACGCTCATTTCTAAGCCATTTGATTCGCATAGCTCGTGCTTGAGACGACACTTAAAGCAACAATTACGACAACTAATGGCGTTACACATTTCACCGACAAAGAATAACAGTAATACAATTCTGGACAGATGAGAAAATTGAGTAATGAGTTGATAATGACTTGATTATAACAAAAGTTGACTAAATCAAGGAGTCCGGGAGTAGTTCGGCCCTCTTCTCCGCTTGATTAAAGAGCGTTTTTCGGCTTAATGGAGCCTGCGATAGAGAAGGGAGGTAAGCCAGTGAGATTCAGTAATATTTGACTCCGTACGATAGTTTGTAGTCTGTCTTACAGACCCTGATACAAATATATATCAAATACAGCCCATGCAAGTCTAATATAATGTTTGGCAAGTCTATATCAGGAAAATGAAAAGAGTCACTGGGCTCACTTTTATTATATTTTAATTAAGATAACTGAACAACTGTTTTTTTCTGTACGATATGTTCATTTCAGAGACTAGCTGTTAGTCTAGATAGTTTGTGGCAGCTCGCAAACTAGATACACATGCACTAACGGATACAGTGAGAGTTGGTGAGTTGGGTTTCACGCCGCTTTTAACAGTATTCGAGTCATATCACGGCGTGTCAGCTTAATGTGGGAGGAAAGCCCGAAGTGATGCAGGTCTCAGACATTTACCACTTCGGTGAAACCCACGAGTATGGTGCTGACAAACCAAGAAACATAATCGGGGCGAACAGGGATTCGAACCCACAATCATAGGTTTCTGGTGTGCCCTAGGGACGCAATTCTGCACAGCGAATCGCGGCGCCTTAGACGACTTAGACCACCCGCTTTCAGCAATATTTCAGCAATATCACGACTGGGAACACCAGAAATGGGCTTCACACATTGTACCCATGTGGGGAATCGAACGATGGCCTTTGGCGTGACGAGCGAACACTTTAACCACTAAGCTACCCAACCGCCCGTTATAGCTCTCGAAGACTGGTCAATTTCGGCGTGTTTTCTCGGCATATTATGTGACTATAATATTACAACATGATATGCCATCGCTATTAGCTTTAAGTTTTAGGGATTCTGAAAGTTATTTGTGATCGTACACCATTTGTCATCGAACACCTGGTATCATTACTATTTGATAGTGATTCATAAACACATATCATGATATAGTCGGAATTGTACAATCGACTTTGCTTATGCAGAGATTTCTATTGGATATGGAGAGGGTTTGTCGCTTTATTGACAGAAGTGTTTTAGCAAGGTAAGAACTGTAGATTCCTAAATACACGTACATAGTTTTATGACAGAAGTGTTTCAGCAAGGTAAGAACTGTAGATACCTAAATACACGTACACCATTTTATGACAGAAGTGTTTTAGCAAGGTAAGAACTGTAGATACCTAAATACACGTACACCATTTTATGACAGAAGTGTTTTAGCAAGGTAAGAACTGTAGATACCTAAATACACGTACACCATTTTATGACAGAAGTGTTTTAGCAAGGTAAGAACTGTAGATTCCTAAATACAGTACACCATTTTATGACAGAAGTGTTTTAGCAAGGTAAGAACTGTAGATACCTAAATACACGTACACCATTTTATGACAGACGTGTTTTAGCAAGGTAAGAACTGTAGATACCCAAATACAACACATGTTCGTGATAAAAGAAATACAAAAGACGACTAGATCATATTAGGTAATTAAAGATGAGAAGAATCTGGAGATGTTTTGATTTCGGTTTCGCGTTGTGTCTCAATGCGCAACTCACCTGCACTCGAACCTCTGGGAGGTTTATTTTGATGGCTAGCTCTTCTCTGCTGTATACATCCGGGTAGTGGGACTTCTCGAACGCGCGCTCGAGCTCGTGCAGCTGGTATGTTGTGAAAGTAGTCCGGTTTCGACGGTGTTTCTTTTTGGGAGAATCGTCATCATCGTCCCCGCACTGGCCATCTGACTCCCCTTCGCTGTGACTCTGACTGTGCCGAGACCTCGAGATATCCTCTCCTACGGGGACAGACAACATAGATTGCACATGGAATAACCTGCATGTACATGTTTGAAATACGAGAAATTACGGATAAACTCTGCGAGGGATTAACAGTAAAATCAAGAAAGAAAGAAAAATGTGTGTTTTATGATTTTAATAGCTCAAATGACGTCAAATATCAAGTAATGACCAATGAATGTCATACTAAATTATAATCCTTGAAGATCCGGGGTGGAATAGGTCTTCAGCAACCCATGCTTGCCGTAACAGGCGACTATGCTTGCCGTAAAAGGCGACTATGCTTGCCGTAATAGGCGACTATGCTTGTCGTCAGAGGCGACTAAAGGGATCGGGATCGGGATTGGTTGATGCATGTCATCGAATTGAGATGGATGCTCTTGATGTCAATCACTGGATTGTCTGGTCTAGATTCGATTATTTTCAGACCGCCGTCATATAGCTGAAATATTACTGAGTGCGGCGTTAAACAGCAAACCAACAAACATACTAAATTATTTACGACAATGCATTGATATCACGTCACTTTGCTGTGAGCATCTTCGCAGACAATGAATAAGACTGATCATTTGGCGCCAAACAGCCAAAGAGCATGGAACACAAATAATATTGCTCACTGAGAATTACCGAAAATAATTTCGGCTTTATCGGTGCCACTGTGGGTAATATTAACATCTAATACACATGTATTCAACGAAAACATCCGACTAAGCTAACATAACACACTTCAGCAACCCATGATTGCCGTAAAAAGTGACCATGGTTGTCGTAAGAGGCGACTAACGAGATCGGGTGGTCAGGCTCGCTGACTTGGTTGATGCATGTCATCGTGTCCGAATTACGTGGATCGATGCTCATGATGTCAATCACTTGGTTGTCTTGTCAAGACTCGAATATTTACAGACTGCCGACATAAAGCTGGAATATTGCTGTGTGTGGTGTTAAACAACTAACAAACAAAACAAAACAAAACAAAACTAACATAACACACACCAACCCAGGTTTTAATTATAAATTATCACAATGTATTATACAGTTCTTCAGTTACACATTCGAGCCCCGTTAATCCGGACAGTATCGTCACCAATGAAATCGTCTGGATTAACGAGTCGTGGTTGCGGAGTAACGTCCCTTTGCATATTGTAAACCTCCCCAAAATAATCGCCCGGAATACAGGGTTTCCAGTCAAATGCAGTTTGATTGTAGTCGGAGGCAGGAGAGAGAAGACAATGACCTTGACATTATGAAGGCAGCTGTCATCGTTCAAAGAACACAGTTCGTCGACTGTACTCTAACGGGATCTGGCTACAGGTCTATAAGATTAATCATTGAACGAAGAATTTCCCACAGCAGTTGAGATTTTATGAGGCTGCACTTGTACTGTATGGTTTAGATTTTCTTCCCGACCACTTAGCTTGTGTAGGTCGATATAAACTAAAAGCAAATATATTGTAGCTCAATATATCAAGCAGGGTGTCTGCCTGGAGTTTTGATGGTCGGGGTTCGATCTCCTGCCGCGTCATAGCAAAAGACGTTTAAACATGGTATTTGTTGTTACCCTGCCTGGTAAGCATAAAACAAAGACTGTCGGAGTCAGTATACTGTGTCTGAGTGGTATAGCCATGTTAGACTGCGGCATGGTATCTCAGCGGGCTGGCACTACATATCTGCATTTGTCAAGACGAATACAAGCAGCCACACACACATACACGCGCATGCACGCAGCTATATAAGTGCAATAAATATAAAAGCTACGTTAAACCGCATTTCACCTCACCTCAGCTAAACGCTATTAAAAACCAACAATGGTACAACAATATTAACATTTGAATATTCAAGAATACATAATTAAAACTTTATTAGATTTTGACATTTTCTTAACATCTTTGTTGAACAGTTCGAGTATGAGTCTATACGGTGATTTTTTCATAAAAGAATGGTTTCATTATATAAGCATATTCGCTTGCTTTAGTTGATGGATTACAACAATGTCATTAAAATCAGATCTAAGTTCTCGCTATCGCTTTGTTTAGCGGCAGCGAGAACTTAGATCTGGTTTTAATGAGATTGATGGATTACATAATTTACAATGTAAATCCGGCACTCATGGGAGTGGGAATTGCTTGTCGTGAGAGGCGATTTTGTGGATCGGGTGGTCAGACTCTGCGAGTTGATGGCGTGTCGGCGTATAGGCCATTCGTCACCACTCGCCCCTTTCCGTAACCTGCAAGATGACTCGTCCCCCTATCGATCAATGTTATGTGCGAAAATACGACAAACCAATCAGAATGCGCGTATGATTTCAAGTTCTTCGTCAAAGAATCCCTCAGGAATAAGTTTTGAATTCACTTATGTCTTGCATCTAAAAATTTACCAAAGAAACAGTTAAATGCGTTCAATCATACTGTATAATTCCGCACGTCCCGATGTGCTTTAAATTGCATCTGAAATATATATAATATATGGGGAAAATGTGTGAACCATTACGCAACGAGTTGACAATTGTTTTAGGTATGCGCGTTTGCGCTAAGACGGAACCCGGTCGCAAAAATGGCCACGAGAGGGGCACGAGTCGCTATTTGGCTTGTCCCGGAATAACACGAGTTGGTCACGAATGCGTATAGGCGTGTCGGCGTATCCCGACGTTGTGGATTTTTGCTCACAAGATCAATCATTAATTGTCTGCTTCAGACTTGATTGATTACAGGCCAGCGTCATATAGTTGGAATATTGCTGAGGACAGCGTTAAACAACAAATGAACATAAATTACATAATTTATTGTCTCAGATCATAGCGCTCGTTTACCTGTTTCAATTGGAGATGATTACCGCCAACAGCATATCGGAAGGATGGTTAAAAACAATAAAATATCGGAAGGACAGTTGTCGATAAGGACAAAATGAAAGGAGGTTATCGATAATAACAAATAGGAAGGATGGTTATCCACAATAACATATCGGAAGAATAGTTAACAACAATAACATATCGGAAGGATGGTTATCCACAATAACATATCGGAAGAATAGTTAACAACAATAACATATCGGAAGGATGGTTATCCACAATAACATATCGGAAGGATGGTTATCCACAATAACATATCGGAAGAATAGTTAACAACAATAACATATCGGAAGGATGGTTATCCACAATAACATATCGGAAGGATGGTTATCCACAATAACATATCGGAAGGATGGTTAACAACAATAGCATATCGGAAGAATGGCTACCGCCACAGCATATCGGAAGGATGGTTATCCACAATAACATATCGGAAGGATGGTTATCCACAATAACATATCGGAAGGATAGTTAACAACAATAGCATATCGGAAGAATGGCTACCGCCACAGCATATCGGAAGGATGGTTATCCACAATAACATATCGGAAGGATGGTTATCCACAATAACATATCGGAAGGATGGTTAACAACAATAACATATCGGAAGGATAGTTATCCACAATAACATATCGGAAGGATGCTTATCCACAATAACATATCGGAAGGATGGTTAACAACAATAACATATCGGAAGGATAGTTATCCACAATAACATATCGGAAGGATGCTTATCCACAATAACATATCGGAAGGATAGTTATCCACAATAACATATCGGAAGGATGGTTATCCACAAAAACATATCGGAAGGATGGTTATCCACAATAACATATCGGAAGGATGGTTATCCACAATAACATATCGGAAGGATGGTTATCCACAATAACATATCGGAAGGATGGTTATCCACAATAACATATCGGAAAAATGGCTACCGCCACAGCATATCGGAAGGATAGCTACCACCAACAGCATATCGGAAGGATAGCTACCGCCAACAGCATATCGGAAGGATAGCTACTGCCAATAGCACATCGGAAGGATGGCTACCGCCAAAACACCTCTTTAGGATTGTTATCGATAATAACATCGATTGGAGGGTGGTTACCGTCAATAACACCTCTCTCTTTCTCTCTATTCCAAGTGTTTTATATATTCGACAACCGCACTGAATAGTGGTTACCACGCTTGTTGAGGGGCTCTTTCCGGCTACCGTCTATGTACGTTGGAAAATAGTCGAGCAGGGTGAGTGAGTAGCATCTATTTGATTACAGACAGGTCCTAATGTGGCGGTACCTGTTCACCGTAACATGAGCCCCTGTGCGGACGCTCGCCCCGCCCCCCGCTCTACAAGCTTGCGTCCCGCTGGGATCCCCCAGGCGCTGAATCAGCCATTGTAGTTTTTAGCTCCCCCAACATGATAACAGCTTTTCAGAGTTACCTATGCATGAAATTCGCGTTTGCTCTATTATTTATTTTCATCTAATTTAATTAAGATGCGGACAAAAGCGAACTGACGACTACGTTTAGAATCTGTCGGGGTTTCCACCCATCTTTTCAAGCCCAAATGCCTCGCTTCAATATTTCTACATATCAAAATTATTATAGATTGCATCGGTTTTAACACCATGGACATCAGAGCGGAGGCCTCGCTAATTGTTGTAACGAGTCGAAGGGTTTACAAATTAGTCGATGGAGTATCTAAGCGAAGCATAATACGGTCTGTCAAGATACCGTCAGAGCGACGCGGTTCTCATGGCCTCCGGCTCTCTCCCGTCACAACCAGAAAACATATTATTTGCTCAAATGCGAACTACAGAGATGACAGTCTAGTTGAAATTGGGGTAATTAAGGGGGTTTGTCCAACTGACAAGACCCTCGGAACAATTTTCATTTTTTAATATTGGTGGTGTCGTCAGTTTGATCGCGGGACCATCTGCTATGGGCGAGCTCCCGTGGTCGGTGGGATTCCATGCTGGTGGAGGGCTTTATCTCGCCACTCGGTAATCCGACCCGACTACGTCACACGGGTTATTGTTATTGTGAATATACAGCCCCTGTCATTATAGCATTACAAATCATTGATTGGTGTGGGGTGAGCCACGCCTTGTGAGTTCAGTCCACTTACCACTACCTCTGGTATACCTTGTT